CAGTGCTGGGAGCTTAAAAGCGGGACTCACTGCACCCGGATCGCTGCTACTGCTACTAGCTTGGATCGGAACAGGAGAGGTCGGGATAGGGCTCTGTCCACTCTCTGGTTCAGCTTGCTTTGTAGTCTCACGTCTTGGTACGAAAAACAAATCAATTTCCCTTGTATCAAACTCATTACGAATGCTTGTGTTGTTCTGAACGTTGAACCCAAACGTCGGTTGAATCCGGAGTTGTGCACGGTAGGAATCGAGGTCAAATTAAAATAACCTGATATACGTAGACGATCATGCGCCCGTTATCTGAAAAAAAGTATACTTGAAAAAATTACGTGGAAGCCCGTGCGTCCGTGCGTACGCCTGGTTACGTCCCTGACAGTTGTGTACAGAAAGTAAGGCAGTGGATAAAGAGGGCAGAACCATGAAAAGTGAACAGTGATACAGAACAGTAACTAAGTAGGAATTGAATAAAACGCGCAATGATACGGAGAAGCTAGAGATCCGGACCGAGATTGATCATTTCAGTCAGTACAACTCTACGGGACGTATTGTGGAACGCGCCGAAAGGACTAATGAGGGAGGGTCCGAACTGATGCCAGAACTTGTTTATGTTTGAACCATCCAATATTGTCAATGTCAGAACAGCCATCGCCCGGCATGGCATTCATAGCCTATATGAATGCCAACTGAATTTGGCAGGGTTATATATTGGCAATACCATACGATGGTAAATTACAAATTCAACATGATTGTGATAAAAGTTATTTATCATTACGCTATTACAAATTATCAGGAAGAAAATACATCTCCATGTCTGCGGTTTGAAATTGCAGAGTATTGCTATGTGAGTTGATTGTCTATTTTGCCTCGGGATCATGTTGTAGTCACGATGATGTTAAGTTGCTATAATCATGATGCTATTACACTTACAACCCAGGAAATTTGATTTGATTTGACGACTTGTGAATTCAGCACTGCAGATTGCTAGCCTCTCGTAGAGTCAGATGTCACTGTGTTGTGCTTTAGTTTTGAGATTGGGTTAGTTCCCTTTACTCGACAAACAATATGTTGCTACGAAATCTACTTCAAAATTAAAATTTCCCGTACATCATACGTCATTTTGTATATAAGTTCAACGTACAAATTTTTCATCTATAAGATATATCAATATTATTATAGAAGGTAACTCGTAAAACATGAGATATATTATTGAGTAAATAAGATATCTCATAAAGTATACAAGATATTGAATTCGATGTATAATAAGATATCACAAACAAAACTATGTAAGATATCTTAAGGGATATAAGAATGAAGTTTGAGATCGCTTATAAACGGATAAATAGATAAAACCTGCCCATGTCTGATGATCAAAAACATCTTAACATTTCCCCTTTGATAACAGTCCATATCTCCTAATAAAGATTCTACAAACAAATAGTTTCATTTACGAAGACGTCTTTCGTTTAAACTGTATTTCCGGATTATACAATATTTTCCGGTGAACCTAGTAAGACCCCCAAAAAACACTTTGCACTAACAAAATCAAGCGCAAACTGTTTACAGTATGAACAATAGGAAGTTTTTGAACACAAAAACAAATCACGTCAAAGACCCAGATGAAATAGAATTTTCTTGATGTTTTCAACGTAATTTTAAAGATTGAAAGACTTCACTTTTGGGTAATTCAACAAGTGATATCCTTTGATCTTAGATCCTTAATCCATGTTTTACACTATATCTATAGTAGTACATCATCACCCTAAATCTGCCGTCATTTAAACACTACTTTACACTATATCTATAGTATTACATCATCCCCCTAAATCTGCCGTCATTTAAACACTACTTTACACTATATCTATAGTATTACATCATCCCCCTAAATCCGCCTTCATTAACACCACTTTACACTATATCTATAGGATTACATCATCACCCTAAATCTGCCTTCATTTTAACACCACTTTACACTATATTTATAGTATTACATCATCCCCCTAAATCCGCCTTCATTAACACCACTTTACACTATATCTATAGTAGTACATCATCACCCTAAATCCGCCGTCATTTTAACACTACTTTACACTATATCTATAGTATTACATCATAACCCTAAATCTGCCGTCATTTTAACACTACTTTACACTATATCTATAGTATTACATCATAACCCTAAATCTGCCGTCATTTTAACACTACTTTACACTATATCTATAGTATTACATCATCACCCCAAATCTGCCGTCATTTTAACACCACTTTACACTATATTTATAGTATTACATCATCCCCCTAAATCCGCCTTCATTAACACCACTTTACACTATATCTATAGGATTACATCATCACCCTAAATCTGCCTTCATTTTAACACCACTTTACACTATATCTATAGGATTACATCATCACCCTAAATCTGCCGTCATTTTAACACCACTTTACATTATATCTATAGTATTACATCATCACCCTAAAACTGCCGTCATTTAAACACTACTTTACACTATATCTATAGTATTACATCATCCCCCTAAATCCGCCTTCATTAACACCACTTTACACTATATCTATAGGATTACATCATCACCCTAAATCTGCCTTCATTTTAACACCACTTTACACTATATCTATAGTAGTACATTATCACCCTAAATCTGCCGTCATTTAAACACTACTTTACACTATATCTATAGTATTACATCATCACCCTAAATCTGCCGTCATTTTAACACCACTTTACATTTGTGAAATGGAAGGGAACTTCTTATAAAAGTCTTAATCAACTTATGATTTTATGAAATAATGTGTTAAAACTTAAACCGAAAATATGTTGCATATATGTCTGTCATTTTGAGATCATCTTTTCTTAGTGAGCCCAACAATTATGACATCAATGTGAGAACAGATTCTGGGTTATTGGTCGAAAATGTCTCAGCCAATCAGAAGAGCGAGTGGATACCATGAATTTCAAATCAACCGAAATATATCAGAGAATTACATGAAAAAGAAATTTCGACTGTCTAAATCAGTCAGAACGAATTTATGATGAAAGTGAAAATGTCAAGGAGAACCAGAGATTTTTGTTTGTTTGATTTTGTTTAACGTCCTATTAACAGCCAAGGTCACCCAAGGACGGCCTCCCCTGGGTTCAAGATGCATGCGTGTAGTGTATGTGTGTGTATATTGGGAGGCTGCGATATGTTCGTGTTTGTCTCCTTGTGATAGCGCGAAACTGATGCCGACTTTATAGTGCTACCTCACTGAAACATTCTGCCGAAGACACCCAGCAGGACGCCCCACCCGCTCACATTATACTGACAACGGGCGAACCAGTCGGAGAACCAGAGACCATGATGCATATCATGGACATTGTATCAACCACAAAATACCAACACTTGTTTAAGGAACATGGGAGGATCATTCATGTGCAGTTTGGTCAGTACCCTGTAGAAGTAGAAGGTTATAATGTGTCCGGTGTGAAGCTAAAAATGTTTCGGCTGATAAGATTGATATTGCAGTGGTTCGAAAATATCACTTGGTCAAAGCACGGAATTAGATTCCCTGCTATCTGTGTCCGTGGTCAAAGCACTGAATTAGATTCCCTGCTATCTGTGTGGGGGGTCAAAGCACGGAATGAGATTCCCTGCTATCGGTGTCCGGGGTCAAAGCGCGGAATTAGATTCCCTGCTCTCTGTGTCCGTGGTCAAAGCACGGAATTAGATTCCCTGCTATCTGAGTCCGTGGTCAAAGCCAAGATATCATTTGGACCTGGGGTATTGTAGAAAATATCAGTCCGTAATTTATCCAAAGTTGTGCTTAACCCCCGATTTATATAAAAACTACTTACTCTAGTTGATCTAGGATTTTTTGATTTTTTTTACATTCAAACATAATTATAAAGACGCAATTAGAGTTTTCATTATTCAAAGATTTACCACATTATTCTCAATGGGCTTCATCAATTCATCCCCAGCATGGGAGAATATACGTCTCTGACATTATTCATTCTTAAAAGATGGAGTCATTGTGGTCATACCCAATTACTTTAAAAGATGTCAAGTTGTATTCAAGGGGTATTTTTTTTAAACATTTCCCCTACATCTCCATAGAACCCACGCCTCCATTCAATGTAGAGGGTCCATATCCTTGGTTTATGCATGATCTACTTCCTTTGTCCCAGTTGTGCCCTCAGCTCCATGCCATATAAGGTTTAAATCCATTCAGCTGTACTTTAGGAGTAGTCACGTTTCCTTGTTTTTAATTGCCCAATTTCCTCAGGTACACCCCACCCTTCTGGTCAGGGATGTACACACTTTATTCAAACTTGAAAATGATAAGTTATACTCATATCCGTGATTGACAAAAAAATACTTCATATCTTAAACAAAAACAAATAGTTATAATTGTTTTCACATTTTTTATTCATTGAGAGATTCAACATGTCTAAAATTATGAATACCTTGATATCTACACATCAATAAATTCATATTTTTACAGTGTTGTTTTAACAAAGGGTAACAAGAACTTGACACGATTTTCCATGTTAAGTATATAACATTAAACATATTTAATATTAAATTAAATGATACTTTAACAATAAGTGACATCATTTATTTCAATAAGTCCTGTTTTGATGAGCATGAAAGATGAAGATCTTATGATGATAATTATGTAGTTAACAGAATATTTATCAAATGAGTATGGATGAAAATCTGATGATTTAATGCCATAAATAGCTTTACGCTGTGCAAAGTCACAAAATGTGTGAAATATCTAGTACTTCAAATTTCAAATGCCGGCTATGCCCTAAGACTTAAAACCAAACATCCTACTTTCATTTTCTATGTGTTTATTGCACACATAAGTAAGTTTGACAGAGTAAATGGTATATACCGGTATACAATAACATCAAGTAACAAATGTGGACAGGTCATTAATACAAAGGAAACATCTAACTTACATTACATCCACATGGAAGGACTTAACCCTTTCAACACTGTAGACCATAATGGACTCATCCAGATCAGTGCATGGTAGAGTCTACTAAAGTTACATAGGGGTGAAAAGGTTAACTGTTGTTTGCCATTTTTAAATAAATATTTGTAAAAAAGAAATTACTCAATAACAATTTCATTTACTTCAGTGATGAATTGATATTGCATAAAATATAACTCTATCTTGAATTGACTACATTGTAGCATGTCGTTTGATATATCCGCGGATGGATTGGCATACCCTGATCGTACACATCATTATGATACAGGATATAGTTTTCTCAGATTAAAAGTGTCACAAAGAGGTTCAAAACTTCAATGTTGTAACAAAAGTCAATATTATAAATAGATGAAAACTTTAATAAATTGACAATAAGAAGAAAAATAACTGGTCATACAGACAACATGGAACTTAGATACAGACTGTGTTACATTTTATCATCCCTGAAGACCTTACAACTTAGACTAGTCCACACCAATGGGACATTCCAATGTAAGTGTTCAGGGAAGTTAAGATGATTTCTACAAAAGCCAAAACAATACATAGTTATGAGAAAAAACCTCTTTCGTCAAACTGGAGAAAATTACAAAATTTAATTCTCTACAACATCAATCAGATACCAGCCAGTATATTTTTGCAGATCTAATAAAATTTAGAAAATTACATTTGTGTCATAATCTGTCCTAAAATTGATACATTAACTAAAAAAGCACACAAAAATAAACTATAATTCATTTAATTTAAAAATAAATATATTTGTATAAATTAAATTTAACTAATGCTTTTTTCTAACCTAGGTATTGTACATTTAACTATTTGCATTATACTATAAAGTATATTTTATATAAGTTTGTTTTTAAATAAACAATACCAGATATTAACACTTTTCATACTGCACAGATTTCAGTTTAGATCTGATGTTGTTAGAGAAGTACACAAGGGGAGACAACCACACAAAACGACAAGAAGAGTAACAAACACCCCGACAACAATTGACAACAGGAAAGGTAAAAATGAGAGATCGGGATGATAAATGCATGAGATATAATCTTGTCAGCACCATACATGTTCTGTACTTCTCACAATATGACTGAGTATTGAAATGTTTCATCTATGATAAGCATGACAGCTTCATTTTCCTGCTTTATATAAATTACATTTACATCTGTTACATATCTGACTATTTTCATGTTATATAACTTTTCAACATGGAGACTTTTTAAGGTAATGCCACATGAAATTTAATAATTTTTGAATATAAAAACCCATTATTTAATTCATTACAATGTTAAAATGATTCTATTACAAAATGTAAGCCTAGTGGCAATATATCATTTTAATACTAAACCAAAAGCTTTGATGTCATTTTTCTTAAATTAGAATAATAAATTATGAACCTATGATCAGATTATATCTTGATTTTTATTAAACATTGTCAAATCACATAGCTTGGCCGTGTTTTCTTAAAGGTGACCAGTATATGATGTTCATCCAATGGGCTGCACAGTCAAATTAATTTAATTTTTACAAGTAGTATCAAGTACTGTAATGAATTACGGTGAAACCTTTATTTACAAACACCAGACTTAATGATATTCTATACCCCAACAAGACTTTACAGGCTGAAAAGATTGGTTTTACTAACTTTAAACCTGAATTTACTTCACTATTATATCTGATCAAATTTCTTATAGTCTTCCTTGATGTTGGTAAAGTCAGGTGTCACTGCAAACTTCTTTAGTATAAATAATGAAATATAAAACTTACTCTGCATTATGATATTTATCTATCTCACTGTGTGCCCACCATTCATACAAATGTAACAATTCACATTCACCCATCATCGTTCACCGACGAGTCCATCCATCAGGATCGGTGACCAGATATATCAGTTTGTTCCAGGATGTCAATACATAATAAGAAGCACTTTTGGTTGTTTCCTGGAACTCTCTCTGAGACACATGACCAAGTCTGGATGACGATGCACAACACATTTGAAGCCTCACTCTGGAATGTCCATTCATATCTTGACCAGCAAGATGCTTGTCTCACAGAGACAGTTTATTCCTTCATATAATTAATGAGTTTTCTGAACACAACTCTGGATTGTAGTACGTACACTCTCCTGCGAGTCGAAAGACTGATGTGTATAATTTTTGTGTCCTGTCACTTTGTCACAACTGTCCATTGTTTATTTCCTGCGCTTAGATTTTCTGTGTAGAGCAGGGAGCTGTACTAGTCATAAGCCAACCTGTGCTCTGTAATCACAAAACATGTTTAACATTGATAAACAGTTTCATAAAAGGAACATTGAATACTAGGTAAGTTATACCAAATAATACACCATTTACAAAATGTTTAATTCTTATAACGCCAAACTTTTATTTTGTAAAACAAACTACAAATGTTTGTTACGAAAAAGATGTACAGAAATTGCCTATATTTGGTATGAAATGAAGTAGTTATCATTTATAAGGTACTTGGATGTGATGCAGCGATATGACACTAAATTAAGTAGTTAAGGATGAAGTAATTCACAACATGATCTGATACGTACTTTAACTTTTTGTGGCGTTCCTTGTCAAACTTGGTTTCTGGAACTTCACACTCGTAAGATGCCAAGGACATAGCTGTAAAAAACAGAACAGGATTAAAAAACCATTCATAAAACATTATACTAAGCAGTCTTTGTTTAGGTGTTTCATGTTCTTACAACGGCTAAGGTCATCATGTCATTTAAATAAATTATAAAATGTAATAAATGGAAAAGAAATAATTACATCAATATACGGGTACGATTTTGGTTTTAAATACAGTCAACCACTGTGTTGTATGTCAACTATTTATAGTGGAGTTATTGATCCCCTTTCATACGGAGTGGTCAGCAGAACTTACTTGATTCTGAAAACACTGTGGTGGTGAGAATGTAGCTGAGGACGTCACCAGACTTCTGGAATGGACACTCCACCTGCTGCCAGCTGATGAAGTCGGAGATATGCTTTGCCAACTGCCAGAACTTCTCAAAGTTGATGGTGCCATTAGCTAACCTGAGAATCAATAGTAGCTAGTTAGAAACAACAGAAATCAGCATGACAATTTTTCTGTTTTACTTGGAGGAGGGGGTATAAGGTCGTATAACGTGGAGTTTAGAATATAAAATCTATTGACACATGTTCTAGATCTAACTGAGGATTATCTCCCCTGATACTGATACAAGTGTTTTTAACCATTACACTCCTATTTAACTTAAATAACCTCTACCATAAATTGATCTGGATGAGTTCATTATAGTCTGGAGTGTTGAAAAGGTTAAGTTGAATAGTTATATATAAAACTTCACTTACTTGCTATTGCACCCCTCGTTGAGGAAATATATGTCTTTGACAAACAGACTGAAGAAAGGAATGACAATCTGAAAGAAGAAAATAGTACTTTATAGACATGCAGAAACTTAATCACATTTGAACCCATTTCTTGATATAACAATTTTCCTTTGAAACATATGACTTAGCTTTCCTTGTGAGTTTTATTTCTAATAGCTATACATGCCACTTCTTAAAATATAGAACAAAATGGCATCGCATTGAAATAAAATATATATATCAATGCATTATAAAAATAGTGCTAAAATAGCAACAACAAAAAATTAATTAAATGTTTAATTAATTTAGAGAGGTTTGATAAAAATTCAAATAAAAAGTAAACAATAAATTACCTTTTCCCTGTCAGTAGCCGCACTATCTGACCGCCACATGGCAGCCTTCAAACACGATCTGTAACTACCAAAGTTGTTAGACGGGTCCATCTGGTGCTGTAAGTAGAAAATTAAAACAATAAATACTGGGAAAATCTTACATTGAGCTTTACAACATTCACAGTGATAAGAACATGTTTATGTGAAAAAAAATATCATTGACTGTTTGATTGATTTTAAACTGTTGTCATTGAACAATTAGAAATATTCTTGAAAAAGTAAACAGTAACTTACCTCTAAGATTTCAAACTTTGTCGTGTTGACCTTGGCCCACTGTAAGAGATGCAGGAGTGAAACATTAGCCAGTGATAACAATCAGCAACACAATATATGTATAAAATAAATAAAACATTAATAATCAAATTTTGTTTACTTTTGTTCGATAGTTGTAAGATGATCAATTACAAAAGATACGCTTTAATGTTAATGTATTTCAGAATCTAGAGAATCGTATGTTTAGAGTTGTATACCAACAGAATATTATGGAGAGTTGTTTTATAAAGTCTGTTTTAGCTGACTCACCGTTTTCTTTAGTCGTGCGACAGGACTCAAGTTCATACCAGCTGTAATGATAAATAAAGTGTAAGTATGCATGGCACAAATTGTCAAACGAGATATATGTATGCCTATTATAACATTAAAAATGATCATTTTTTTCTTTAATCAGATTAATTATTCACTTAAATGACTGTAATACTATATTGTACTTACCAATAATTGCCATCAATGAGTTGAAGTTGCCAATGTTGATGCATTCTTTGGCAACGTCTGTGAAATATTCTATCATCTTTACTCTGTTTTTCTTTTTTAAATGCTGAAAATAGAAAGATTTAGATTTATATATATGTGTTTCCACCCACTTTGATTGAAGTGTCATTTGATTATCATCAACGGAAATCTATCATCAAATATTTTCTTTATCAATGATGCAAAAAGTCAATGAATTGCCTCCCTTTACTTAGACATCTAGACTGTTTCGTTTAAACAGTTCAACCAGTCGGACCACAGTTGTCCGTTTATTTAATAATGTCTGACCTAGTAATCTGATGCTGCTTTCAGGCGAGCCTTGACAAAGCCTTGCATAAACATTTTCAGGTCCGCCAGGATTAAACCCGAAATTGTTACATTTAAAAACGGACAAACCGGTTGTTCCGCATAAACGAACAGGCCACTAGTTACACACAATATATGTAATTCTTACTGAGCAAATCTCTGTAGCTACAAAGTAGCTAAGTCTGTTAAACCATTGGACGTAGGCTTCTAGGTTGGACGTTTTCTTCACATCTCTGATAGTCGTCTGGATAGAAAGACAAAAGAGGAATAATTAGCTGTGACTTTAAACAATCAAATGTTCGTACCATGTCTCCAGCTCCTTTTTTTAACTCATTCACCCCCCTAAAGACACATTTGAACCTTACCAACTCAATGACTGGGTAAGTCCAGTTTAGATATGTAGGGGTGAATGAGTTAATGTTCAAATTGTAATGGAGCTGCAGAACGATACTTAAGTTATATGTAAGATAAATTAATAAATTCACAAATGAGTTTCAATAAATCCGGAAGGTAGTTTTATTATAGATGAAAAATTGTCAAATAAATATAACTGGTATTGTCAATAGATTTCTGTAAAATCTAATAATGATAGCCAGGTAAATGTTTCTAGTTATATAATTACCTCGGAGCTATGAGATTCCTTGGAAAATGCTTGAACAAATTCTTCTGGTCCAATATTTCGTAACCTCTCTAATTCTATGTGTGTAAGCTGTTGAGCAAATTCTAAGGGATTACCGCACACCTCTGTGATGTCCGTCTGTAAAAGAAAATGACACACATATAACCCTCGTATTATTTCTGTTTCCTCATACTTTATTATCATTAATGAAACTAGTAAACTCCTTTTGTCTACTGACTATAACAAGAATTTATTTGATACATTTATTTGCTAGAATTTGATGAAACGATCAAGTTACAAGTTTGATGATAGTGCTAATACAATCTAAACAAGTTACTTAAAGCGAAGAAAAATTTACATAAGTTCTTGATATCTTGTAATAAAATATAATGTTCTTGCACTACAGAACTAATTATGATTTCCTCTTTTTAACTATGAACCAGTTACCCTGTAGCAAACACACTAGCTGACCAGAAAATAGATAGGTTTTAATTACCGTGGGCACCTCCTGAGATTTGGATTTTTCCAGAGCCTGATCGCTCCATTTGGACAGTTCCTCTTCGTACTTCTGTAAGCCTGCCAACTGTAAAGAGAAAGTGGAGGCATGAGATTTATTGTCTATTTGAGAGGTCACACCATTAGCTGCCGAGCAGTTAAATTGCCAACAAACAGAGACCAAGCTAAGGGAGAATTGTTTGTTTTTAACGGCCAACATTTAGTACTGATACATCAGCTGTTGGCTGTATGGGAAGTGGTGCCTGGATACATGCACAACTAGAAACATGTGTGTGCCCACAGAGATACTTTACTCTCTTAGAGGAGCCATCTAATGATTGGCATTTTAATTATGAAACTAGATTTCTTAGCACCGATTCCCTTTGCATTTGTGCACTAAAACGACCAGAGTTTAGGGAGTACAATCAGGCAGACTGAGAAATCCAAAGCCAACTCAACTTTCTGACCTGCTGATAATGTCAAGTTCCTTAAAATAAATCTGTTCTAAAAATAGCAAACAACAACATGAAATTTTTAAAGTTCACAAAGTATGTTTTGATAATTTTTGGATGAAAACTTTCAACCAAGCCACTACTATTAAGATTTATGGTATTTTAATCTTTTTCTTCCGTAACAATTTTATCTGAATACTTAAATTAACTTCTTGAACTACATGCCTGGACATTTTTGGGAACTCCTTTTTGTCAGAAAATGAATGTGGCTTTATTCCATAGTGTAGATAAATGGTGCAAAGTACTTATCTTCTACCCATCATACATACTGGTATGATCAACTGTGACAGACCTGTCACCCAACACTGTCCATACCCGGTCTTATCTCCCTTATCTCTGACAGCCCTCCCCCACAATTCCTCACCTCCCATGACCTCTAACCCGAGACCACTCCCACTTACAAACGTATTTCCTCGGCTCCTCCCACTAACCCTTCATATGATGTGGCTTCAGTATTATCTTTCAGTTACCCAGTCTCGTATACTTCCATCAATTTTGTTTATCAATTGAGTTGTCTTTGATTAAAAAACAGGTTTTATATCTCATCCTTTGTTTTTATCAAATACCTATTTCAGTTACAATTGCGTATTAAAACTTCCCAGTTTATCAGCCGTATCACACATGGCCTGTGGGAGGTAGATACTGGCCTTTTTATAGTCTGTATTAACCTCAGATAGACCCAATTAGAGATAATATCCTAAACCTTGGGTGGTGACCATCTTAACCACTTGAGGTCAATGTCAAAAGTCATTCATAATCTTTTATTAGGGGTGTTGAGAATCTTAATCACTCGAAGTCAACGTGAAAAGTCATTCATAGTTATTTTTAAATGTGTTGAGATTCTTAATTACTAAAGGTCACTGTTAATGGTCATTTATATTTATTTTTCTAAGGACGACATTTTTAATTTCCCATGGTCAATGTCAAAGGTCATTTATAAATACTCAAATTGTTGTTCGGAGTCTACTTCTCCAGCAATATACCAGATGTGGTAAACAGCAAGTTATATACCTACCCTGTTAACTAGGTTGTGTTTGATGTTTGTCACATCACCGCGTAACTCAGGGTAAATGGTAACGATTCGTTGTGTGATTTCTTTCAGCTGGTTCATCATTCTGTCATCTCTGAAGTCGTAAGGGAACATCTCGGCCCACTCACTGTTCAAAGAAATGCCAAAAATGTGAAATATTTACGCCAATTGTATTACACCTGTATCTTAATGTACAGTGGGGAATGATAGGATTTTACAGAGAAATACCAGGCACACTTTAACTACGGCAGAGTCTGGCTGGAGTTCAGTCTAACATCTATCAGTAAAACGGTTTCCTCACAGAGAACAAACAGAGGAAATCGTTAAGTCGTTACCTTAACCTGCCAAATGTAATTTAATCAACAGGTGAATTCCGATGTTATAGCCAGTGTACTTTGATGGTAGTAACAGATGCTTCTGATGTCTGTTATCCTCATTCCAATAACGAGCATTCGACCAATATATATAAGAAGACTGTTTTTGCCAATCACTGACATTTCTCTGATATTTTTTTCTAGAAATTCCAACAACAATAAACGTATGTGCCATCATTTTGGTATGCTAGTTTGCTGCTTACTGCGGTGATAGGAATGGCAACACCTTACTTTCCACACTATCTTGGTGCCAAATTATTTCCTCTAAATTTGTCTTCAACAGTAAATAGCCTACCTGTAAACAACACTAAAACACTGTAATGTGAATCTTTGACATTTTCTTAGTGAGTGAGCTGGACGAGTTAATTAGGTCCTTGCCTCTCCCTGTCTCAAGTAATTACCTTAATAACTGGACAATGTTGGGACCAAACTTTCCTAAGTGTTCTCTGTTTGCGTTTGCCTCAGTGAGGTTTTGTTGAAGACTGCATACCTGTAAGATAGAGATACGCGTTAAAACAGGCTTTTAAAACAAGTTTTAATATAATTGATAATAATTCTACAAAGTAAGCCGTTTTTTAAGACAAACTGTGTATTTTAATGTGTGAATTTTAGCTCAAATGAGTTTCTTTTTATTACTTCAGTCAAAATATATTTTTTGGTTAAGAATTGTTATTTTGCAGAAATATGTTTTTTCCATCAGTAGAATTTAGAGCAGAGAGATGCAAGAGATAAGCTGCTCACCTGACAGACTTCGCCTAGCAGGCTGTGTGGACGTATGTACAGGCGGGAACTCAATAGGAATGCAAAAACATAGGTTCTCTGGAAACGAAACAGAACACAACTGTAGAAAACAGCGGGATAGCAAGATGTCGTGTCAATATCAGACTGGCATGTGCTGGAACTGTGTATGGTTTACGTCTTAAACTTGGGGCCCCCACCCCACTTTTTATAAATAAAGGTTAAAACAATAAATAAAAATATGACCTAATATCAGGAAAAACAAGCTTTCTGTCTGGTAATCATTACTTTACATGAAGCCCCCCAGGACAAACTCAGGATCATATGAAGCCTATATGGCGATATAATTTAGTCCAGCAAGCATGCTGACAAGGACAAAGGCAGTTTTATACTGACTGAAATATGAACTCTAAACCAGCAGAGTAGACAAATGACTTCTCTAGAGGACCCTAATACATCATCTCCATGGGAACCCTCAGAGCCCTCATCAGTACCCATCAAATACATCATCTCCAGGGGAACCCTCATAGCCCCTCTGCATCAGTACCCATCAAACAGTCAGAAACGGGTTTACATCAAGTCTTGGTATCTAACCTCTTATTTCATGGACATTTCATATCCTGGCCTTAACCCTTTTACCACTGTGGACCACAATGGACTCATCCGGATAAAGCTATATGGTAGAGTCTAGTAAAGTTACCTAGGGGTGAATGGGTTGATTGTCTTCCCTTCTAGGATCACAATCAAATTATCCTAAATGCGGATACTACAATATTTAAAATTGTAGTTACCGGATAAATGTCATATATACATAACTATATAACGAAAGTAATTTTTTGCATTATTTTAAAATCGATTTCAAAATTAAATTGTGTCGTTTAATGTTGAGTAATAGAAGATGCCTTACATCGGGGATTGGAAGACAAATCAGAAAAGAGAATCACAAATCAATAGTACATCAAAGGCAGAGGAAACTGTTTGTAATAAGTTTAGAGATTAAAATCTATGGTGGCTCAGGCTGTAGATTAGTATCCATGGTAACAATCACTATGAGGCATGTATTGTGATTTAATCTGGGCTTCACTTGGACAAATGCCAAAATATCTCAACTCTGCCTATTTATAGGTTTTTGTGAATTGACTTAAATAAAACAAAAAAACGCTTATACAGTAAATCTATTCAGGTAACATAAACTATGTTTGAGCAATATATGCCAGGCTGATGGTATAAAGCTATTACGTATGTACATATGTATTGATTTGCAGCTGCTGTTGTTGGTAGAAGAAGCGAGGAGAATCAACACACAATATCCCTTTATATACCTTGTGCCAAATAATGACCTTCATGTTTATCTCGTTTATTAGACGTAATAAAGCATGACATTAAATTCAGAAAAAACAACCCAACACTAAAAAAAGATTTTTGACTGCCTGCCAGCAGGTTTCTTTAGTTTCCTGCCTGTTTCTAATACTGTGTTGATGTAGGCGCCATTATTGTAAGTCTGGCTAACTTAACGATATGCTACATATATCATTATCAACACATATATCTGGAAATTTATAACTGAACTTCAAAAACATCATGTGTTTGGGATTTTAAATGGTCACTTTCATGTTACAAACATATAAATACTGGATATCTTTTAACAGAAAAGTGTAAAACATTCAGTGAATGCTTTGTTAAGCTTGCCGTGCACAAACAGGATTTTTGGCCTGGTCTTCTGATATATCAAGAACAGTTCTGACAGGTTGTGCTTGTTTACAAAACATCTAAACATTCTGGTCCAGATTCCTGTTGTGTTTATAACCATAACCCAGTGAATTGGTCAGTAATGACTTGTGGGGGAGGGGGAATTACCGGGATGGGGAGTCCAGCATCCGGATCTGGGAGATGACTGTACCAGTATTTCACAATATCACTTTTTATTACAAGGGATATACAATATTAACCCTTAAAAGTGACACCCCTTCTATAAGAACAAATATGAATTCCATTACGAGATGTACAAAATATTATAATACTTAAAATGAATTTATGAAATATATTTATCATTTAAATTTATTTACAAAATATAACGCTGAAAATCATCCAGTTGATATTTTCACATTGAAATAAGAAGCTTATGTCTTTTGTAGGCTTTTTACAGTAAAACCAGGCATATAACTACAGTCTACAACCACACAGGAAATCATTACCGAATTCCAAAATAGGTGCAGCACAATTCTGAACTTTGATCATCTTGAGCATCTGTATCTATTTAATACGCTATATGATTCATAGAGATAACAGTCAAGTCTGTATTATTATAATAACAATACTGCATTCCTTTCAAACCCTATATCAAATACTCAATCCCCTTCTATCGCCAAATCAATCAGGTTTGGAACACCTTGATGTGGTTTAGTTATAGATGTGTACTAAAGCCAGAAGCATATTATTTTAATGATGAAAGTTGGTGGTTTGTGGTAAGATATACTATATCCATTGTAGCGTAGTTCTTAAAACGTGGTTTTGGACCATAAAAATACATTGATAATAGTTTTTATTCCAAGAACAAACTCTGTCCGAAGTTCTTTCTGGTAAGAAAACAGAAAAAGTCGGTAACAAACACCTCATTTTACTTCAAAACTTTTGAAGAAAATTATATAATTAGTTCCAATGTATTTTGAATTAAAAAGGACAGGTGATTTAGATGTTGTAATGGATATGTTTACACATTACACAGGATCGACTAATTGGTTTAAATGAAGTGTGTAACTATAATGGTTCTGGCCTGTACTACACTACTCTCTGTGATTAGAGCTGGAGTCTCTGTACTTCAGTTACATAGACATCGGGCTACCAGACCTATTGAAACTGACCCCCTGGTTCCCTTCCATTAACTTGACATGCTCTTATACCAACTGACATGTGTAAACAATCTAATTTACCCTGATGTAAACCAGGGCATCTATTTAATCATCCAATTTGAAATCGCAAAATATGTTTACTTTATAAATTCAGATTTACCATAAACTATACATGTTTAAGCTTGTGTCATATGATGTCATACAATTTCATACTGAGGGATCATATGGATGTTAAAATCAACAAATTCTTACATAAGCCTGGCCTAATGTAATCTGCATTTTAATGGCTAATCAGGAATCAACACAAGCAAGGCCTTAAAAAATCAGTACTGGTAATTAAAATTGATGGTGAACAGAGAGCTGGGATAGCCAGGGGGAGATTTTACCATCCTCACAATATAAACACACTGCAATGATTATAAAGATTATTTTCCCTAACATCATATATAACAAGAATATTTTCCCTTAATGTCACAAATCGCCAAAGACTACGTACTGTATTTCCCCCTAATGCCATATTGTTACAAAAGATTATTTTTAAAGGATCAACCTTCCTCACATTTTCAGTATTCTTAAGCAGTTTTCGTGATCATCAACCTGGACATTTTGAGTTAACAATATAAAGCAATAAAAGTGATGTCAGATGATCAGGCTATGCTCGTTAACAGCCGTGTCACAAGTATGTTTTCCGGTTGATTCATTGTCATCTGCTAGGTACTTAATTTTAAAAGTTTGAGATTTTCAAATCGGTTTAACATTGCATGTAAATTACAAATATAATACTGTGTATAGTATAATTTTGAATAGTGTTAAACAAAACTTTTGTTCTAATTATTGCGTTATAAAAATATATTACATTAATAATAATAAATTGTTTGAACAAAATAATCCAAAATTACAAAAAAATATTGTAAAAATTTGTTTTTATCATTCTATTAATTAATGCAAATATTAACAGTCGTCCAATTCTGAAAGAGTTTTGATCAATCTATTCATTAATGCAAATATTAATACCAGGTAGTCGTCCAATTTAAAAAAGATTGTAATACTCACATCAGGATGATAACTTGTGGTGGGCACCAAATGCTGGATAAGTGCGTCGATTGACCCTGCCATCAGATTGCCGTCTTGGAATATCAAAGCCTAGGATCAGAATGAAACAGGTGTAGAAGTCTAATCGAATATCAAATGTCCAAACAACACAACCTGCCAGCCTTATATTCCCAGCAGTACTAGTGTATCACAGGTAAACACGGCCTTGTGTACAAGTCGTCACTGATCAGATAGCAGCATATGTGTTCCAAACTATATCCGTTAGCAGCAACTCGATTTAAACGGCGCCTTGTTTTGATTGGCCAAGTGTATTTGGTTACTCGAGGAAGTCACAAATTACAAATATAGAGGGCTGTGTCCTCGTTTATAAATGTACAGCCAATTAGCGACAGGAAACTTAAGGGGTATACACATTTATGATAGTATATCCTGTTCCCTCCCAAACTCATTGAAAAAAAGAAAACAATTTAATGAATCGGTTTGTATAACTAGATTCAATGTTATAAAAACAAATTGTGACACGTGTCAGAAACACCTACAATTATTTCAATAGACCTTCAACATGCAAATACACAATCATTGTATTTAAAGTTTGATAGAAAACAAAAGTTTACAAATAAGTAAATTTTTCTTGTTCATGTAAACAGTCCATTAAAGTAAACAAAACATAGCACTAATGGTACAAGTGGCTGAAAAATAAGTCTGTTAAATACCACAGCAAAAACAAGTCAACATACCTTTTCTGAAAATAACACTATTTCACTCTAAGCAATTAATCCGTTTTTCTAATAGCATAAAAACACATATCTTCGGTTTTGAAACAAGTCCTCCTCATCGCTCTAACTTTCAGAATGAAAATAACTAGAATCTGCACACTGGTTGAGAGTTGAATCACGCGCTGGCTCACTCACCAGGCTGCGCACTTACACAACAGGCAGAGCGAGAGCAGTGAGTCACCGGCAACATGCAGTTGCCACGCATCAGAGCCACAATACTTTGTAATTAGCAACCAAGCAAAATAATCAATAACTAACTCAATCATGACCTCATCCATCATGATGAGCAGATTTTAATTGGGGCTTTTTTTCACAGTACCCAAATATTACTCCTTATGTACAATTTTGAATCATATTATGTAGTTTTCTAAACAGTTTAATTTCCTTATAAAAAAAAATCAAAAAAAATCACCATATATATTCTTTTTTAATTCTGCAAACTTAGGTTTCTTTTATACTTCTTTAGTCATTATGAAGATGTGTATTTTAAATCATACGTGTAGAATCTATTTCCTTCTAATTATACCTTAATTAAACTATTTCTTTTTCACTCTGGCATGAAGTCATGATTTTTCCTTCTCAAGAGACAGTAATTATTATTTAAGTCAACTACATTCAAACTTCACTTAACTAACTCTAATCTAAACCAATGACCTCTACGAGACAAGGTAGATGACCTCGGACCTTTACTTAGACAATCAGCATCTATAAATCTTCTACTTTCCACTTTACTGCAAATTCCAACATGACCCAAAGGGATTTCGGAGAATGCCGGAGTATATTTTTGGGGAATTTCTGCTGTGTCAGTGAACCATTGTGTGATGGCAAAACCCTCAACCACTTTACCTTATCTCAAAAACATTTCCAGGCTTATCAGTCCTATTCTTCCTATGACGCAAGTACTCACATTATCATGTGATATACCGACAGTGGAAGGATTATGCGAATATGTTTTTCATAGTGTTGATACAGAGTAATTGCGCCATCAGGATTGGTGCTCAGTGCAGAAAAATCACAGGAAAGTTTCTCCGACACTGACCTTGACATTTTGCCAAATAATACTATCCATAAATGATACAAACACACATTTGTGTTTATTAATACATACATTGAAAGCCACAAACAGTCTACAAGTATGTTATATCGTTGATCTAAGTTTTCCGAGACAAAAAATGACAAATATTCTGTTAAGAACATTGACAGTGGGGAATGCCTGAGGTTTCACTGCACGAGACCATGGAAAGTGAATGAATGTTTGAGGTTTTGCCGAGACCTCCTAACAATGAAGGCATTTTAGTTTTTTATCACAGCTGATAGTTTTATCTACCTCGCACCCCACATTATCACAGAGACTGACGTACCACACTTGTGTGGTAAACACTTTTATTCATTCACCAGGCACAATACTACCCTGTGTCTATCACACAGATTTCTCCTAGTCTTTCACGAAAACCACTTTGAGGAATAGACTGACACTATTCATTTATTTTATCTGTATTAAATATTAAGTAAACATAGCTCTATTTTTATTCACACACTTTAATTTCATTCATAATTATCCTGATCATCATTAAAAAGATTAAATTTTCTGCTCTTATACTTTCAAAAAAAAAACCATCTCACTTTTGGAAAACACACTTAGCATTGTTCTGTACTTATAGATAAGAATATTGTAAGCTTAGCACCGAAAGAGCAATATTTTCAGTGTACCTCAATAGGTTCTTATCCTTTTGATAATTAGATTTTATGGATTCATATACCAACCATTCAAGATTGTGACAACTTTTTAAAGTACTGCCACAATATTTTATAATACATCTAGATAAACTGGTACAATATGGCAACAACTCTTTTCTTGTCAATACTCTGTGACATGCAACACTAACCTCGTTCTCAGAGAAGTGACTATCTACTTTAGCACTGTAGCCAGCCAGGTGGTGGTCAAACATCTGTGACAGACTGATCATCTGTGGCCCAACACTCTTCTGCAAGTAAATAAACACAACTTATAAGTACAGTTGATGTTCATAAGTCACATAGTCTACATAGGTGTCCAAGTCAGCAGGGTCATTGTAAGACACTGTCTACATGTAAGACACTGTCTACATAGGTGTCCAAGTAAGCAGGGTCATTGTAAGACACTGTCTACATAGGCGTCCAAGTCAGCAGGGTCATTGTAAGACACTGTCTACATAGGAGTCCAAGTCAGCAGGGTCATTGTAAGACACTGTCTACATGTAAGACACTGTCTACATAGGTGTCCAAGTCAGCACTGTCATTGTAAGACACTGTCTACATAGGTGTCCAAGTCAGCATTGTCATTGTAAGACACTGTCTACATAGGTGTCCAAGTAAGCAGGGTCATTGTAAGACACTGTCTACATAGGCGTCCAAGTCAGCAGGGTCATTGTAAGACACTGTCTACATGAAAGACACTGTCTACATAGGTGTCCAAGTCAGCAGGGTCATTGCAAGACACTGTCTACATAGGTGTCCAAGTCAGCAGGGTCATTTTAAGACACTGTCTACATGTAAGCCACTGTCTACATAGGTGTCCAAGTCAGCAGGGTCATTGTAAGACACGGTCTACATGTAAGACACTGTCTACATAGGTGTCCAAGTCAGCACTGTCAATGTAAGACACTGTCTACATATCGGTAGTCAGCTGAAAACAGTTTACATAAGACACATAGTTAGCAAAAGTTGCTGTCTAGTAACATATGTAAGTATAAGACACATATAGTCAGCCTAATACAATCTCTATACATGTATATGGCACCGAGTTACCATAAACCATACTCAGCCCAAGACACATGTCTATGTTAGTCAAAATCAGTATAATACACTGTTAATAAATCAAGGTTATTGTCTATATAAGTTAGTTAGCACAAGACATAGTTGGCATGAAAAACTGTCAACACAAGTTACCACACGACAAAGTCATCATAGGACACTTGTCTTCATAAGTCTCAGCACCATACAATCGTTAGCATAAGACATTAATGTTGCATAAAGTCAACATAAAAGTGTATGTAAGTCATATATATTGTCTGCATAAGTTATGCAGTCAAAAGTCACCTCCATATCATAATTAAGTCTTCAACATATAACTCAAAAGTTTCCTAATATCTATATCACTTTGAAAATTGTTTGCTGTAAATTGAAATTGTGACAATACCTCATTAAAATGTAAAATAAGTACAGAGTAATGTAAAAGATATGTAATACCTTAACTTATCAGTGACGGCCTTCAATTATCAGTGCTGATTGCTAACTAAAGAGAATTACTTGTACATTACATATAAAGACTTTTAAACTAGAATTGTAAGTCACTGGGGAATTTAAAATGTTTTAAATAGATCTGCTTTCTACCAGGAAAAAGATAATTCCTTCCTGTGTATGACGTATATAGATGTTAGATAATGTTTCAGAACACGCGCTTATTTATAGGTTCATCATGCTGTGGTTTGTCATTTCCGTGGAAAGTCCTTATTCACTTACAACCTTGACCTACAATGTATCAGTCATATTATACTTTTTATAGCAACTATGATTTTTCCCAGCTATAAATAGATCTATGACAGATTTCAAAATTCAAATTATATCATGCCTGCAAAATAAAGAAAAAGTTCAAGAAGGAATATTGTTCCTTGGATTATAGTTTCTCACAGAGATGCCAGACCAAGGTACTATAGTAGATCCTACAAACCAGTGATATATACTGTAATAACTGGGATATTATAATATACAGACAAGCTGTGTCACAGTGACACCTACAATTGTCAGACCTACCATGGAATACAGAAATGAAACAGGTTTATAATATAATTGAAATAAAACAACATTTATTGACATCAGTGTGTATGCAAACAGTCAAAGCAAATCCCATTTTATCTTCAAGAGTAAATGATCAGCAGTCAATGTCAATTCCACTTTCAATCAGTTTCTCAGATAACAATTGTGTAACATTTTGATCGGGACCAATACTTTATAAGCAATGTTCTGACGGAGAAGATTTTCATGTACCGTATTCAATACATTTGAAGACAAAATATTACTGAATGAATATAGACAAATGTTTGTTTCCACCAACTAAATCATCATAAATCGTATTATTTGTTTAGGACTAAATTAACTACTCATACATGGACTAGCCTAGGACAATTAATTTATCCTTTGTGCATAAATTTCCAACAGGAAAACATGTTTCTACCTCTCTCCATATTCGCCTCAGAGCTGAATTAATTGACTTTCTATAGATAATTCCCCAATGTAAAAATCTTCCTGTTTTTGATCATTTTCATAGCCTATGCGTTAGATACTATATTACCGGCGACTCTTTTTCACTTATTTTACAACCGAAAACAGCTAGGCTGCTTTCCCTAGCCAAAATAAACATCATCTTCCAAAAACGAACACAACAATAATAAGGAAAATTTCTCCAGTTTATAAAAATTTCATGCATGCACATGCCACCATAAAATAGGTGCTTATCTTATCCAGTGTAGGATACACACTGCTTACATAAAAAAAATCTTGTTAAAGCATACACTTCTAAAGAAATGATTTCTTGTCTTCTTAGAAATAGGATCCTCATATAAAATGTGTATTCCCCCTCAAAACATTGTACTGTACCCTAGAGAAAAAAACGATGAGCGTAATTTGCTGCAGGCAACAAAAACCTGACAGTGTATAGCTAAATGACTCTACTTTTAGGAACTAAATATAAACAGTCAGTAAATATCATGATCGTACAACATTTGATATAGCGCCCAAGCTGCAATACATATATGCAATCTCTACAATATATCCATGCAAAATGGGGACCTTGCAGGAGCTGCCTTATCAGTTGTTAAATACTGGCCCTAAGCCACCTGGCTAATACCTCCACATGTGTGTATACCTGCGTAAGTGTGCTAGAGGTATATTTGTTCTATTTCACATAGGCCCCATGCTTCTTAACAACATCTGTTTACCATAGAGACAGGTCTTGGGAAGAGAAAAAGACTTTCTCAGAAAATTCTATGCTAGGACAACTTCAGGGACTGAACCCTGAATGGTCATGGAGGAGGGAGTGTTAATCACTTGGTAATATCCCCTCTCAATATCCTACATATCACCATGTGATGCCCTGAATTTAACTCATTTACCTCTATACAAGGTACTAATTGGCAACTATTGATGAATGAAGCAAGTTTTAAATATCACTGATACTGCATATGAACATTGAGTGACCGAAATCACATTTAACCCCCGAACTGTGCTAATCAACTGGTAACATTTGATTGTTTTCCTTATAAATATATTCAAAGTTCACTTTCGTCCCAGATTTGAGTGCCCCTTCTTGCATACAAAAACACAAATAGGAAACAACTAAATTGTCAATTAACACATAAAACTATGTCAAATGGTACTTGATGTACAATAAGGTTTGGCACCAGACATGACCACATCAATGGAAATAGGATACCATATTAGGGCTTAAACCTCTTTGTAAAGAAAGGTGAAAGGTCATCTATGTTTATAGCCACGTCAGCCTCCTAATATATTGTTTACCAGGAATTCTATAGCACTATAGAGATTAAGGATCCACTTCAAACACATACCATCATAACAGGATGTAAGCGAACCTCAAACACCTCGCCATACTAAACCGAGCTCTCATTTCAGTAGCACTGTTTGTGAATTACTAAGGCCCTTCTGTGCCAGTGAATACAAATAAAATGTTCTCTAAATGTACCAGATATATATGTATCGTCATACTGCAACCAAGTCTGGTTTTTTGGGGTTTTTTATTACGTCAAACAAACAGTGACTTAAACTAGTACAAGTTCCCATATGCTGTCTATTTTTGGATACTAGCATCATCATTAGCAAGTACTATTGGCTATGGTAAAACCCTGATTTTTTTTATGATTTTTTCTTTTTTTTATATTGAAATTTCACTAGCTAAAAGTCTGTAAAATTCACTAAAAGCCAGCAAAACAAAAAGACAATGAGAATCAATAAATAAACCAGCTGAAATTATCAATTTTTGTAAATTTTAATATTATAATATTATGACTACAGTTAGTGTTAATAGCACCCCTCTAACATAATATATGTACTGCCTTATCTTTGTGGCCATTGTTATGATATTTGGTATAGGCACCACTCATTATTTCGCTGTATTTTCAGGGCACCAAGCTTTATTTCGCTGTGTTTCCAGGGCCAAAATCATGTCCACTTGTTTATAAACTTAGGAAACATTCACCTGTAGAAACGGAAGCTATGTTTACTAATGGTCCCGATTATCTATTACTGTATCGCCATATGTTTATTGGTGGCCATGTGGAGGCCTTAGAATGTGCTGTCAGATGTACCAGAGGCAAGGCCAAGGACACGGAGGAGAAATTACAGGATGGAATAAAAATACAAGAAGGAAGGAATGAAGAATATACCCACCCATTCCGGTGGTTTTAACAAGGTCGCCTGACAAATGATAGCAAATGTACCAGATATTATACAGACACCTCCAACTAGCAATTGAGGACAACTCTATCTAGACCAATGAGCAAAATTAACGGACAAGCAGGGGGGGAGGGGGGGGGAATCTACCTGACAAATGTATTGAAGGAACTGTTAGGTATTTATCCAGTACCCTAAATAGAGGAATGAATGGAAACTAGCACATTATACATAATTACCCAGGTATAAGATATATGGGTTTGTCAACTCACCGTTGTGGCTCCATCAACCCCATCAGAAACATCCATCCTCACCACAACCATATCAGTGGTCAAGGTGCTGATTGCTGTCCAGTGGATTCTTACCAAATGATCAGTGTCTATTTCGGATTTGAGGGATAGGGCACAGTTAGTGTGACGTTTGGGAAGGGATGGGATGGGGAATTTACCAAAGCTTGACCTTCATCAAGCTTGCTGCCCACCTGAAGACATACCCAGCTAGGTATATATACAAAGTATTCTACACCTACACTAGGTCA